CCCACACACCCCATCCACACCCCACACCCCACCCCCACCCACACCCACACCCACACCCGCCCCCAATAATATCTCATATTTATTTGCATTATCGTCATTTAGTGTTTAAGACTTTCAGCTAATTGCAACGAGTATTTTCTATTCAAATCCGAATTATTCTTTAGAAAGAATTCAAATTAATTGAAAAGAAAATAATCTCACAATACGTTTTACTTATTAATAAGTGTCTTATCGCGGCTGCTGATTTAGACTCTATGATCACTCGTTTTAGTAACAATTCACAGTAATAGAAAAACTTTTAAGAAAATCATCAATACAGCACATATTACACTTACAGTAGTTATCATATAGAAATGGATAAGAGAAAAAAAATCTACTATATCAAGAGCAAATGTAAAACCTTGTTCATTACTAATAGTCCTTTGTACAACTATTAAAGAAGTTTATGTGAATTTCAAAAATAATTTTAACATAAAGTTTTGGATTCTAATCAATCAAACAAAAGAAAAATCATATTAGATTAATGGCACTGATACTGACAGGTTTGATAGCAACAATATCCATTTGACACTCGAGTAACTTAATTTGAATAGGATGTGGCTGTGTCTATCGGGTATGTGTGCGAAGTCTCTAGAGAATATGGTTGATTTTTCCGAGCCAGACTCTTAAAGGATTCAGTCGAGATTCTTTCAGAATTCGCTCTTTTTTCTTGAGGAAACGGCTAAGTTCTGAAAGAATTGTTAAATCACAAGTGTAGTCATTAATGAATTCTCTTGTTGGCTTTTCGTTTAGACCTTGATCGAGTTTAGTTGCAATAGTTGATTGGATCATGGTACCAAGACAAATATCAGATCTTATCTAAAACTTGATAAAACCTTGATGAAATCCTATCTAGAATTCATCTAAGAATTCTTAACAGGATCTCGTATAACTTTGAGAAAGTCTGGAAGTAGGAATTATCAAGACTTGAGACAGGATTCTGACAGATTCTTCCAAATTTTCTCAAGGAATGAACAGGATTTAGATTAGGAACTTTTCAACGACATTCACATCCAGAAATTATTATATCTTATTACCTATCTTTTTGAGTATTTTGTAGGTTCGAAACAAATAAATATACAACTCTGCTAGGCATTCATATTCCTGATCAATGACTCAGTTTCAGTAAAGAAATAGAGAGAGAGACAAAGCTCATACTGACGATCCGTCCCATTTCTGTGCCACGGTACACATTCAAGTGCTTCTCGATACATTATTGGGGAATCTGCTAAAACATTTGGCATAAGGATCGATAATTAGAACTTATAAAGTTCGTATTTCGGTCTAAGCTTTTTTCTATTAATGTCTAACATTATGAATCCGCAAGAATCCATCTCTGATAATTGTAGCGTAGTAAATGAGTTAAGTCATTATTGATAGATATTTTCACATATCTTTATATATCTTTTATTTTTATTGACACAAACTAGAAATAAGAGTATATAAAAAGTTAATATAATGCAGATTAAAGAAAATAATAATAATCAAAAAAGAAAAAAATAAATAAATAAATCAAACTAGGGTAAAAAATTGGGATGTGGTAAAAAAAATATTATGATTATTTATTAGTTGTTGTTGATTTTTCATGACAACTATTGGTAAATCTAAAACTGGTGTTGATAAACGTCTAACTGCTAAACTTAGTATACCAGCATAATTTTCAAGCTTTATTTTAACAATATCTTATGTTGTTACATTTTTAAATACTATTAATGGCATTTATTTTTGTAATAGGTTATGATAATTGATTAACATTTGATGTTTGTTTAAATACACTAAGCAACAGTTGCATCACCTGATGAAATTGCTGTTCTAGCTGGTGGCATACGTTCATTAACTTGATCGTGTATTTTAACTTTTGAAAAATGTTCATTTGTTGATGCTGCTTTTTCACGAAGAAGTGAAGCTACAACTTCAGTTTTATTTGTTATTTCTTTATCTAATTCTGTAATATTACTTGATTGTGTTAAACCATGTAATGTAACAACATTTTCATTTAATTGACATAATTTTTTATAAGTTTTAGCAACTTTACCAACAGCACATATTTTTGAACGCATTTGTTCTCTACGTTGTTCTAGTTGAGTATGTTCGTCATATGTAATTAATTCTTCTTCTGTACGTATACTAAGAATTTGTAAAAGTGCATCATTAATTCTTTCACAAATAAATGGTAATGACCATGTAAATATATTCATAAAATTTGGTAACCAATATGGGTGTGGTGAAAAATTAAATTGATGAATATTAACAATATTATTTTCATATTTCATAATAGCTGCTTTATCTTGATGAACATCACAATAATTAGGTGCTGAAAATATTGTTATTAATGATGAAAAACCAGTTTCAGGTGATTTTTTATACATACGATAACCCATATCTTGTGCTTCATGAGCACGTATTACTGAACGTATCTGATTACATACTAAAAATTCATTAATAGCAGCATATGTATAAAAATAAGAACAACCACGTGCTGCATTAGTAAGATATAATGATCCTGATGAAGTAGTTATTGATGATGTTTCTGATGCACTCATACGAGGAGTTGCGACTAATCTTAATGATCCTTCTTCATTTCCATAATCTTCAGCTGGATCAGACCATAGTAGATTACACATTGCATTTTGAGCTGGTGGTTCATGAAATCGATCCAACTGGAGAAATTTTAAAGAAAAAACACAAGATTAAATTGTTTAAAATGAAACAAATGTTCAGTAATCCAATTAGTTATATTTTAACCATAATGAAATTAGAATATTATTCTATTTTAAGATTTTTGATAGATTTATACGAATTGAACTGTTCAAATTTGATTATGTATGAAAAAAAAGCTAGCTGAAATATCGAAAGACAAAACTCTTGTTTTAGAAGAATGAAAAAACTGAATTAAAAGACTAGAAATATTATTCAATTTTAATAATCGTTTGTATAGTTAACACTGAACTTACATTACATTCTCTATGTTAGACTCAATTTTCACTGATATACTACGTATTGATAGGTTGATTCTTCAATTTAATCATGTGATATTGTCCAGAGTTATATGTGAAGCTTAAGAAAATAACGTTAGATCAACCTGCTACTCAGAATGATATATGATTCTTAAACTTTATGAAAAAAATATATATTGAATAGTAAGGTTATTGATAGGAATTTTACTATTTTAAAATGTATCAATGATCAATATATATGTGTATAACCTGTTTAATATCATTTAAAGTATGAATTTCTGGTGAAAGTCCACCATGTACACATAAAAACTGATTGTTCACAACAGCAGTTAATGGAAGACACTCAAATGCTTCCATACAAATATCATAAATATTTTCTGTATATTTGACAAGACATTCCTGTTTGAAGCTAAATAAAACAAAAAAAAAGTAAACAATGAAAATTTTATAATTATTAATAGAAAATTTCCTTACGTAAAATGTTCTGTTAAATGTCGACATTCATGATTTCCTCTGAGTAAAAAGAATGTTTGGGGGATAATTAATTTTCAGTGACCATAAATAAAATACACTAAATTAAAAAGAAAAACCTTCAAATGAAAAATTTTAAACAAACAATAATATAACACCATTCAATTCCAAAATAGCCTCGATCAACATAATCACCAAGAAATAAATAACGAGTATGAGATGGAGCACCACCAACTTCAATTAATCTATCACAAAATATAAATAAATCTTGAATAATAATTAAAATAAATACTGCCTTACTTAACTAAATCATAAAATTGTCCATGAATATCACCACAGATAGTTAATGGTGCATCAATATTTAATAATGTTGGTTCTTCACGTAAAAGAGCAGCACCTTATTGATCAAAATTAAATATTAAATATTAATTAAAAATAGAACTCATTAGGTTTTAATCTGTAAGCATTATGAAGCATAAGTAAATCAAAATCTAAAATATATTATGGGTAGTTCCACGCAGTTCCGCCCACTTTTTACAGAATATTCTGCCGGCAAGATTTCACTATGCTAGTTTTGTAGTCCTCGTCGAGTTGTGTAGGAAATGATATTTAGGTTTTATTCAAATCATGCGCTAACTCCAGTAGAGCAGGCTGAAAAGTCGATTTTATCGAAAATTGACCCCCAAAATCAGTCTGTTCTACTTTTCGTGAACATTCTTTAGAAATTTCGATTTCACCATTTTGTAAAGCATAAAAAGTTGTCTATATAAAATAATTTTCAAAACTATATCTCAAGAATTCATTGTTTAGGAGCATTTGCAAAATAGAGAAAAATGGCACTTCCTGCTAAAATTGTAATGCTGATAAAATTTATACAATCAGTTAAAGACCCTAACATACTACGATTCAAATGAAGCTTATACTATGCTTATTCAAACACGAAGTGCCCCAGTTTTTAAAAGTCTTCATTACTTCAGATATATGGATCCGAAGGGCCGGAGGACCTCAAAAAACCTCACATTGAGCCTCGATTTTCTCAA